TTTGGGTTTGTCTTGTTATTTTTTAATATGTTAGTTATTTTTTAAATAAAGTTAGAATTCTCGAAAGTAAGCTATTTTATATACAAGTTTTCATTATGTTTTAATTTTCATTTAGAAAATGATTTTGGGGTTTTCTTGGTTTTTTTAAATATATAAGTGTTTTTTTTAAGTAAAGTTAGAATTCTATAGAGTTTTCAAATTTAAATAAAAATATTCATTATGTTTTATTTTTACATTTGAAAATGGTTTCGGGTTTGTCTTGGGTTTTTAAATATGTTAGTGTCTTTTTAATATAGTTAGAATTTTTGAGAGTTTTCCGTTTTACAAACACATTTACATTTAAATATGTTAACATTATTTTGGGTTTATCTTGCTTCTTTTATTAAACATGTTAGTGTTTTTTAAAATAAAGTTATAATTCTCGAGAGTTTTCTATTTTACAACCATGCTTTCATTATGTTTTATTTTTGCTTTTAAAATTAAATTTGGATTTGTCTTGATTTATTTAATATGTTAGTGTTTTTTAAAATAAAGTTATAATTCTCGAGAGTTTTCTATTTTACATACATGCTTTCATTATGTTTTATTTTTGCTTTTAAAATTAAATTTGGATTTGTCTTGATTTATTTAATATGTTAGTGTTTTTTAAACATATTAGTGTTATTTAAAAAAAGCTAGAAGTTTCGTGATTTTTCTATTTTCCATACTAGTGTTTATTACGTTTTATTTTTGCTTTTGAAAATGATTTATGGTTTGCCTAGATTTTTTTTAATGTTAGTTATAATTCTCGAGAGATTGCTTTTTTATATACACGTTTTCATTATGTTTTATTTTTGCTTTAAAAAATAAATTTTGGGCTTTTCTTAGTTTTCTAATATAAAGTTAGAATTCTCGAGAGTTTTCTATTTTGTATACATGTTTTCATTACATTTTATTTTTTCTTTTGAAAATTGTTTTGGGTTTGTCTTGTTAATTTTATATATGTTAGTGATTTTTTAAATAAAGTTAGAATTCTCGAGATTTTACTATTTTATATACAAGTTTTCATTTCCTTTAGAGAATGATTTTGTTGTTTTCTTGGTTCTTTAAATATGTTAGTATTTTTTTTTATAAAAAGTTAGAATTCAATTTTCTATTTGAAATATACATTTTCATTATGTTTTATTTTTACTTTTGAAAATTGTTTTGGGTTTGTCTTGGTTTTTAAATATGTTACCGTTTTTTAAATATGTTAGTGTTATTTAAATAAAGGTAGAATTTTCGAGAGTTTTTTATTTTATTTACAAGTTTTTATTACGTTTTATTTTACTTTTGAAAATGATTTTGGGTTTGCCTTAATTTTTAAAAAATATGTCCTTGACTTTTTAAATAAAGTTAGAATTCTCGAGAGTTTGCTACTTTATATACATGTTTTCATTACGTTTTATTTTTGCATTTGAAAATAATTTTAGGATTTTCTTAGCTTTCTAAAATAATGTTAGAATTATCGAGAGTTTTCTATTTCACATTCATTTTTTCATTTTGTTTTATTTTTTCTTTTGAAAAAGGTTGTGTTTTTCTTGGTATTTTAATAAATATGTTAGTGTTTTTTAAATAAAGTTATAATTTTCGAGTGTTTTTTATTTTAAGTACACATTTATATTACATTTTTTTGCTTTTGAAAATTATTTTGGTTTTGTCTTTGTTTTTTAAATATGATAGTGTTTTTTGTCTTTTGTAGGCAATTTAATTAGTGAATCGTTTATCTACTTTACCAATATGGTATTAAAAAGAGTGCTACTTGGGACTGAAAACACCTTTATCAAAATTTGTGTAAGAATGACAACACGGCGGATTGAAGTTGAAGTTGTACTTACCTAATCCCAAAATTCAGAACTCGAACTCAAACTCAATAGGGTTGAAAAAAAAGCTACCATCCTCAAATCTGTCGTTTTTAAAATATGCAAGCTGCCACTAGATTCATCCATCTACCGTTTTTTTCTTCCTTTTTTTCCTCACCGTTAACGACACATCTCTATAGCATGAATAACTAAAAAATTTATGATGACTTTCACTTTGCTTTGATCTTCTTTTTTTCATTTTCCCTATTACTAATGATGATAACAGAGTAATAGTGTTTGGTGCACCTATATGCACACTTGTGCAGCAGAGAAGACATACATATATATCTGTATAATCGGGGTGGGGTAGTAAGTGTACCAAACCCGAAAATTGATTTCGGATAAAACCCAAACCTAAAAATTGATTTCGTATAAAACCTGAACCTAAAACTGGACCTAGTTACAATGAATTTTCCCCATAAATTTGGGTTGGATTTGGACGGGTATTCATGGATTCGACTTTCATTAATGCGAATCATGATTATATTCATATCAAACTTTGAATTAGTGGGAACTTTTGTGCTCTTTAAACACCATTTATCACGCTCAAGAGAAACTTTTTGCTTCCTTTGGGATAGAAGCTACTCTTACAACGGCACTCCAAATATGGGCTTATATAGTATAAGTTGAAATAAGGAAGTGCACTATCCATAGTGCACGGTCACCTAGTATAGTTTTAGGATGATAGATATATGTAATCTTTGTATTTGTAAACTATGAGATTGAATCTTAAATTTGAACTTATCACTTCTATGTCACACGTTAAATAACTTTATCATTGTACCGAGACTCACCCTTATAATATAAATAGAAATGATATAAAAAACGAAACAAAAATTAAGAATATTGTTACCACACGCATATGCAAATTCCAATTGGGTAGGGTTGAATGATGAGACATAGCACTTTATTGTAGTATAAATTGTCTTGATCCATAGCTAAAACAACTTGTGATTAACCATGAGCTTGAAATATCTCCTTGTAACATTTCTCCTAATTGGTGCAATGGCAATTCCCCAAGCCAAAGCACAACTTGGGCTTCTCAATGGCCTCATAGGATCTTTTAATATTCAAGGAATTGTAACATGCACTTCCAAGGACAATATGGGTATCAATGGTGCTCAAACCTCTGTTTTTTCAAGTAAGGCCTAAATTTATTACCATTCATTTTGCAAAGTTGTGACTTCAAAATCATTTTACTACTAGATTAGTAGTGGTTTTTAAGGTGTAACATTTTTTAATTAAAATTAGAATCTTATAGATACATAAATTATTTAAGAAAGCTGAAATGTTATTTGATTATTGAGATGCTCTATAATTACTAGGACATAAATTCTAGCTAAAAGAACAACAATGAATTTTGAAATACATGACCAATAGCCTCCACATTATGGATAAGACTTTTGTCCACAATTGAACCATACAAATGATACAATTTATTTATAGATGCCTGCTTTATAACATTAAACTCTGATTTTCTCATGGTTAGAATTTCCTACTTTTTTACACTTCAAATAAAAAAAATCCTAATCTTTTGTCAGCAATTCCAAGATGCTATATATAAGATGATTCTGAATATACATGTACTCTTTAGTCTTTCTGAAATAATGTGAAAGAGACAATGCTACAAATACACATGCAAGAAATACTTAAGGCTATATTTGAAGAGATGCTAACCATTCTCATTAAGGTAATAGATAAGCAACCAAAAAATATAGTTTTAATGTTAAAAGTTGTATTTTTAATACTTAATATCTTAAGTATTTTAAGTTTGATTATTAAGTATTTTAAGTTTGATTAAGAGTAATGTTATATTCTTCTACTAAATCTTCCTATTAATTCTCTTACCCATAAAAAAGTTACATATGTCACAAAGTGATAATTTATTTATTAGTGATTGGTTTACAAGTAACATATGTCACTTTCTTGTGGGTTCGGATATATCATTTTTCTTGATTTATTGCCCAATTTTAGTTTCAATATGAAATGAGAAAAAAATGTATGTACCGATAGTATAAGAGTTTTTACACTGCCACTGCATCATCTAACATTCATATTTACTTATCATTAACTCTAACATAAAAGTACTAAAACGAAAGATAGATGATATATTGACTGTGTATAAATCTTTATATTGATAAATAATATATAAAAAACAACACAAAAGTTCAAAGAAGACTGGTTATCCTTAAGTGTTTCAAAATTGATGTTGCACACAATGTATGTGACAATTTGGTGTTACCAATTGCATTGCTGAACAATGTCTCAGATGCTGAAGTGCAACTAGTGTGTGATGGAAAAGTGTTTTCTGATGCAACAACCAATGGTGCTGGAATGTTTTCAATTATGGTGGATTCCCTACTATTTAATTTGTCTTCTATGCTCAATGGTTGCAACTTAGTAGTTACTACACCACTCTCCAAATGCAATTCCAACCTTCCTTCTGTTGGGAACTTGATTTCAACACTGCATTTTGGTGGAACCACTCTTGTTGGAACACAAACTGTTGCAAACATTACTCCATCAGGATTTCAGTTTGTACCTTAAATCATCACATAAGGACTACAAAGCTATGACAAAAACTATATATATTGTTATTAAATAAAAGTCATCAAGAACTGTGTTAGTGACCCATGTTCCTTGTTTATGTTTTTATAGTTTATTATATATGCATGCTAGTATTAAGTTTCTTTTACACAAATATATCATTTATTATTCATGTCTGTTACTTTCACACATGAATGATGAATGATGTACCAATGATGTAAAAATTATTATGGTATCACTAAGTAATTCCATCCTCCTATCCCTCATTTTCATATATGTTTTCTCTAAGAATGAATACATTTCATAAGCATATATAGTAAGGCTCAAACACATCAGTATAAAAAATATTTTCTTCCATGTAAAAGTAAAAACTTCAAACAATATAAAGGTTACATTTAATGATATTTTTGCCACTTTCTAGGAAATGTTCAAAAATAAAAGTAATTAAAAAACAAGATAAAAAGCTGGAAAAATATTCAGTCATAAAAAAGTACTAATACATTAAATTAACTACAGAAATCATTCACCAAGCAGTAGTGGTTTAGTGGTGTTATAATACATTGCCATAATACATAGCTGTGAAGATATTTGTGCTAAATGTGATAGATGGGTCTGTCCAAATGTCTTATTTATAGACAAAATGAGCACATCTGAGCTCTTCATTTTTTTCAGTGAGTTGTGGACTATCTATTTGGATTATCATATAAACAAACATTGTCTCACAATTACAATTATTTTTTTATTGGAACTTTTAAAATGTGAGTTGTGGAGTGGACTTGTTTAATTTGTGTTTCTTATCATGTTTACTTTAAATTTCAGTGAGTGGTGGTGCTCAATCTATCTATTATATCTTCAATTATTAAGTGGAAAATACTAGTATAAATCTCCCATTTCAGAACCTTTGCACTAAAATCTTTTTAGCACTATTGAAAGCTATGTTTCAACTTCCAAATCACTGCTTAAAAAATCTTCCAAATTACTAAGTATAAGTCATGGGTTATATTCTTCTTATTAAGTATGATGTGTCTTTAGAAGTTTGATGTATAAATTTTTAGATTGGGATGCAACCTAACTCTGTATTATTCATATTAATCTCGCAAATTAGTTCGCTAATTTGTGAGTCGTTAGATTCTATTACCTTCAATCTCAACCTTAAAATTTTGACCGAGTAACTGTTATGTTTAGAAGTTGATATGACAAAAACGACTTCAACATAGTTTAAATATCTGTATGGCCCAAACCGACTTCTATATTATTATGTTTAGAAGTAGGTATGACCCAAATCGACTTCTGTATTTTTATGTTTAAAAGTCGGTATGGTAGGAAATGACTTCTAGATTATGTTTAGAAGTCGGTATAGCAGGAAACAACTTATGAGTTTTTATGTTTAGAAGTCAGTATGACCTAAACTGACTTCTAGTCAGTATGACCTAAACTGACTTCTACACTGAAGTCAACATGACTCACCAACCTCAGACTGATTAGAAGTACTTCTAAACTAAATTTGTTAACCTCATTACCGACTTCCAAAAAGTCAATGAAACGGTAGCCGGTAAACAAAAATTTTCATCTAACAGTTATAAATCAATTCGCTTCCAAGCAAATTAAGTAGTATTTCACAAATTGGCAAAAACCTTTTCATTATTATAAATAAATAATGAAGTAATGGAGCAGCTAAGGAAAGAGTGTAACGTTCTTCTGCTAAGTCCACTCCCCAAAACTATTGTAGACAAACCATTAGCTTTTCTATACAGCTATGCAATTGGATTACTCAACAAAAAAATGTATAAAATATTACTAGGACTGCAAAGTAGGTGCAAAAGTGAACCTACAACAATAAATGCTACAAATACAAAACACTGTCTCAAGATCATGTTTGATGAATGCATTCTAGGGGACCACCTAAACTCCTTCTCCAACCATGTTCCTCTCTTTGACTATTGACTATTGAGAAACCTTTGTCAATAAACAATGAAAAATTATTCATCAACTAGATAAAAGAAATTAATAAAACTATAACAATCACAAGTCATGGCTTAGTATGTTGCCTCTAATTTACATAAGATGCTCATAACATGGCCAATAACGATTCAATGGATCTTCCACTTTGTGTCTAGCTCACTCAAACATGTGTATCCATGTGAATATTGATTTTACATAGAATACAAATTGCATATATCTTTCCAATACCATCTTCACACATAAAATATAAGGGATGCCTCGAATCCTATATAATAGGATCTGAAAATGGTAGATGTATGCAGTCTTGCCAAGGTGTACAGTCACCATAGATTGAAAGAATAAAAATTACATATATCTTTGCAATAGCATCATAATAACTTGAACTGAATTACAAGATGGAAGAAACTACAAATAACATTTTTAAGTTAAAAAAACACACATGTTGACATAGTGAATATGTTTGGTACTTCTCCAATTTCCCTCTGTCCAAAACACTGCATACAGTGCAATAAATGGTTCCAAGAAGAAAGTACTCCATAGCTGATGATTATAATAACACACCCACCTGAATAAAAAGTAAACAAACACCCAAAAAAGAAATGAAGAAGAAAAAATTGGGAGAAGAAAATTAGAAGCTAAGTTATTACATTACACTAATGAAGTAGTGATATTAAGACCCAACCATAAGATAAACAGAAAAATAAATAACTAACATCATACTAATGTGTATAAACCAAATTAAAACCTCCAAATGTTCTTTTCATTTCAACTGTTAACAGTGAGCAATGAAGGAATAGCTGATAAATTTGGTGTAACATTCTTATCAGAAGCATCTTTCTTGTTATTATCCTTTGAAGATGATGATGTTTTGGTTCCAAAAGCTCTCATAGGACTAGCAAATGCCCAACCCCAACTCTTACTATTTCCTCTTCCATGTGCTGATTCTCCATTACTATTATTATTACTACTATTATTCATAGCATCATCAGCAGAAGATGAAACCCAATAAGTGGAAGATGATGATGAATTAGAAGAAGATGAAGTCATCATGAAACCACTGAATAAACCACCACACATAACCCTTTCCTTCATGTAATGGTGGTGACGGTTCACAACACTACCTACCTTGTTTATACCTTCACGTTGAGACTCCACTCTTCTAAGAGTACAATCTCCTAAACCTGTAGAGATTTTATCAAAGAAATCACCAGAGAACCTTCTACTACCACACCCAACAGATCTAGATCTTGAAACTTTTCTCTCAAAAGAAGCAGCAGCAACGGAATCACCATCTTCTTCTTCTTCTTCTTCAACAACCATGTTACTCTTTCTTCCCATAGAAGAAGCACCATAGCTGCACTTTTCCCTTGAGGTGCATGATGCTGCATTAACAGCTGAAATCCTTGGACCACCATTGCTGTTTTCTCTTAAGCTCTTAGCATCAAACTTCTTAGATGAAGATGATTTTGAAGAGAGATATAGAAAAGACCAAAACCAGTTTCTTTTTTTGGGACTAAAGTTAAAATCTTCAATAACTATGTCATCATCATCTAAAAATTTCCCTCTCCTTCTTAGTATAGCAGTAGACTTGCTTCTCTTGAAAATGATATCAGAAGTAGCAGAAGCAGAAGCAGAAGAGGATGAGGAGTTGGCCAGGGTGAAAGGTTTGTTGTTCTTGTTCTTCTTTGCTAAAAGAAAAGCAAGGCGTGAACGCATGTAATGCTCATGATGAATATGATTAGTAGTATTAATACCATTCTTTTTAACAGAAGTAGGAGCAAGTGTTGATGTTGTTCTAGTAGTGATAATGGAAGCTGAGACTGAAGGGTTAGTAGAAGAATAAGCACTGTTGGATCTTAAAGAATCAGAAGAAGAAGGAGAAGAAGAAGAAGAAGGGTGAATAGGGAGAGAAGAAGAAGATGAAACAAGCATGCCAAGTTTTTCTTGAAGGCAAAAAGCACAGATCCCACCTGAGTTGTTATGGTTATTGTTTCTATAAGGATGGTTAATGCATTGCATTCCATCACTCATAATATCATCTTCACCAACCCTTCTTCCTCCTTCTTTGTTTCTTTCCATGTGGATCATCTTCACTTTCTCTTATGTGGGGTTGTTCTTCTTGTTAATGGTTGATGGTAGTGTAAAGTAAGCAGATAGATTTTCCTTTATGCTAGATTATTATGTACTTTTATACTTGAATGCTTTTAGCATAGGGAACATATATAGCTTTATCTTTTCCCCAAGATATATATATATATATATATATAGAGAGAGAGAGAGAGTGTGTAATTGATGAGTTGGGTGAAAAGGAGAGAAGAAAGAAAGAAGAAAGTGGTATTGAAGTAAGGGTAGAGATGATGGTGTTAGGGGTAGTGTAACAGTGGAGACTCCCCAGGATCACGTGGAATACTGACTAACAAAATTATAAATATATTTAAAGTACTAAGTTTTTTTTTCTTTTTATCGGTGTAACGAGAGAGGAGTAGTGCGACAAATATTTAAACGATTTTCGGAATAATAAGGTAGACAATGTGAAACATACTTTTCAATATGTCATCTCTACATAAGTCCGTCGGACCAGACAAATATTTACCTTTGACCCACAACTAAATAGTATATTTTGTCTCATAACAACAAGAAATAAGTTTGGTCCCGACTCTTATACAATGTTAAATTTTCATCTCAAAACGAATTAACAATGAGAGGAGTAGCTCAACCAATATTTAAATCATTCCCGAAAGAATAAGATAGAGATGTGAGACTTACTTCTCTCTCAACAAATGTCCTTTATAAATCTTTCATTTTTTTGAATTAATCTAATAATTTATTGAGTTCTTAACAAATGGGTATAAAGTAATACCTTTGTTATTATGTAAATAACAGATTTCTTTCTTCCATATGATTATACCAACCCAATAATCAGTAGATAGAAATTCTGCAAATTAAGATTGGTGTACTGGGTAGAAATAAATAAATTGTAATGATAATCAGAAATATAAACTCTACCAACCAAAAAATATTTGGAGAGTAGAATCTTCAACATATTTATCTAGTTATGCCTAAATAATCTCTATTATTCCAATACTCATTTGGTTGTATTTTCCTTTAGAGAGGACAATGAAAATTTTACAATCTTTATATACATTCCTTTCTTTATCAACAACTAAAATATTGATGCTACTTTATACATTTTTGAATAGATGAATAGGGCTAAAGCCCAAGACTTGATGAAATCACACATCTTGATTCATAGGTCCAATTCACTAACCACTTTCATTTTCTTCTTCCATTAATCTACTTTGGGAAGAGGATTGCTAGAGTTTATAGTTGCAAGAATCTGATTCCACTATCATAGCTCTCACCCCATGGTAGTTAAAGTGATAGAGATTTTAAATTTTCCATAATCAAGATGGGTAACATAAAACCTCCTCTTATCGGGAATGAGGGATAGATGGGAGTCAATTCAAGAAATGTCAACTAAATTAAATCATTATTCAAAGTTGTTTATGTGCCATACTTCATTTTTCTTGGAAAATTTGAACTTATCTGAGTATGTTTATAAATAAATTTGGTTTTATAATACAAAAAATATGCTTAGGTAGTTATTTACAACCATAATTACATGTTATGTTGTACTAATACATTTCTAAAAAAAATTATGTTTTCATGTTTATAGTCAATCAAACTCCAATAAGT